GTGAGTTAGTGCCTTGCCACTAAAACTACTAAAGGACAACAGGATGATTCCACACTAGGGGTTCTGTCAAATGTATTTTGTTACTGCATTAGAATTTTGGCTGGATTATATCCAAGTCCCTTATAATCTTACCTGGAGGCCCGGTGTATGAAATTCGTGCATGGGGGGTGGTCCCCTCAGCTCAGCCTGCACCCTCTCCAATCCGGGACATCCCTTTCACAATCCTGGACCACTGGCTCCTGCCTGCCTGCCTGGTCACCCCTAACTGCCCTCCTGCCCCTGCTGGCCTGACTGCCCTGCACTGCCCCCTCAACTGCTCCCTCCCTGCTGGCCTGGTCACTCCTAACTGTCTCCCCCGCTGGCCTGGTCACCCCTTACTGCCCCCCTGCCAGCCTGGTCACCCCCAACTGCCCCCCTGCCAGCCTGGTTGCCCCACGCAGCCTGCTTGTTCAGTCACTTGGTTGTTCCTCACTAACCCCCCTACCAGCCTGGTTGTAGGCAGCCATTTTATGAGGGTGTGATGGTCAATTTGCATATTACTTCTTTATTATACAGGATATTCTATCATTCTATAGTATTCTTTTTTAAAAAATATGCTTTATATTCTTCAGAGAGAGATAGAAACATCAATGATGAGAGAGAATCATTGATCGGCTGCCTCCTGCATGCCCCCTACTGGAGATAGAGCCCACAAGCTGGGCCCGTGCCCTGACAAGGAATCAAATCGTGACCTTCTCATTCATGGATCGATGCTCAACCACTGACAACACCAGCCATGCTATAATATTCTTTGTGATATATTTGTAGGTCCAAGTTCTATAGTTTGGGAATTAAAATTAAGCATCTTTTTGTTTTGATCTTCTTAGTTTACAAATCCAAAATCCCATTGGTTAAGATTTCCTATATTTCTTATAAGGAAATTTTTAGAACTCTGGGAGACTTGAACTCTATTACATTCCTTGGCTTGTCATACACATTTACCAAAAATGATTATCCAATAGTTGTTTCCAATACTTTAAAATTATATGTAATAATCTCTGTTCTTTAGTATCTTTGAGTTATTACATAGCTTAAATGGGCTTTTTAAAAATGAACCATTTATATTGTTCCTTATTTAGATTTTTTATTGGAGTCTTTGAAAATGTCTCATTATTAAAAATAAAGCAATAATCCATGCTGGGCTTTGTTGGTGTGTAGATGGGAACCTTCTCTTCGCATGACCCCTGACCAGGCTCTCAAGCATGCTTGGATTCATGATTCACGGAATCTCAAAACACGGCCCAGGCTCCAGACCCTGAGGAAACTCAATCTCCCTTTATCCTCTGAGGCAAGAAAAGACAAGGTTCAAGGGCATCACCACTTGGATAAAAAAGGTACTGGCCCTCAAATAACAAATCTTTTTCCCATAGTTTAGGAGGTAGGCATCTCTGGAGGATTGCATGTCAGCTTCTCTGAACTCAACCTTGGATAATTATTCTGGCTACATCACTACTGGCCTGTCACTTCTTACTTTTCGGATGTTCCTTTCAGGAAACTTGGTTGTAGCCCTTTTTTTGCTACCTTGTTGTTAGGATTTTCCATTTTTCATCTTATTTTCAATTCCCTTTCTGCTACTTTTTCCCCCCACTGTGTCCTTTTCTGCAGCCCCATAATTACCTTTTGAATTTTTATCAGATCATGGAATTAGTATCTTCTATATACAAATAAACTACTGATTATATACATGGTCATTGGAATTAGACTGCCTGGAATTAAATTCAAGCCCTGTCATTTTCCAGGTGTGGGCCCTTGGGCAATTTACTTACCTCTCTGTATCTCAGTTTTTCCATTTATGAGAATAAGAGTTATGCCTTTTTTCTATGGTTGTGGAGAAAGGATCAAATGAATTAGTAAATATAAAGTCCTTAGAAGAAGGCCTGCAACATAGGATGTGCTTTATAAATGAATTGATTTAATATCATTTTGTCCAGAATTTTCCTGCTAATGGACAGTTAGAATTCACATTTGAACACTTGCTCCTTTGTCTTCTCTCTCCTTCAGCAGATGTGATTATCAAAGAGACCATAGACAAAATAAAAGATGGCACCACCAAGCAGTTTCAAAATTCAGGTGATCAGCAGGGCTCTCTCCAGCATGCTGCTGAAGTTGTCCAGCTGCCTCACCTAGCAGAAGCTTCCAGTAAACCAGAGGCAGTTGTCAGGCCAGAGGAGTCCAAGACCTCCACAGAGCAACAAAGCAAAAACTCCTCCCCCAAGAACACAAGCATTTTACCACCTATTGTATGACCTCTGCTGAGGGCGTGTCCTGTTCCTTTTCACCAATGATTTGTATTAGAGACCACACTTATATTGTACAATACATAAGATTGTTGTTTTTAATGCATAAAGGTTTGTTTAAAAAACAAAACAAAAAAAAAAAACAACTCTATTCACATGGCCAGTTGGCATGATTCCTGATATGAGGGTGTGGGAGAGAATGTCCTTGCATCTATATTCCCTCCTTATGCCCTCAACCAGATAAAGCAATGGGGGTGTGTTTGTATGGGTTTGTGTGTGTGGAGGGGATGTTAAACACTCAGTTATATCATCACTAATAGAACTCTAAAATTTTTTTTTTGCCCATGACAGGATTCTTGTTTGAAAATGAGAGAAGCTGAATTCAAACTAGTTTAAGCAACAAAGGACATTTATTGGTTTATATAATTGGGCAATCAGAAGGGTATGTGTAGTTTCAGGCACAGCAGAATCTAGGAATTCAAACAAGGTCATAGGGCTCAGACTCCCTCTACATCTTAACCTTGCTTCTTTTTATGGTTAACCTCATTCTGAAGACAAGCTGTGCCCAGAGTTAAGATTATCATTATCATCCAATCAAATATGCAGTCTTCCTTGCTGCCAGGGAAGTTTTAGAAATGATTGGTCTTAAACCAATCACTATGTCTGAGATATTGGGATCCTTGATTGGCCAGACGGGTCACAAGTCCATACTGAGATACTGGTGCAAGTGATAGCACCAAGTCTGATGCTTCTCTAGGACCACAATAGCAGGATGTGTTCGTCCACCCACCACTCCCATAGTCTAATTAAGTTCATTTACTTTTTTTCCTTTCTAGTCCTTAGCTAATGTGTACATAATCTCTATATATTGTAATTTTAGTACCTATAAAATTTTACAAGAAACTCAAGATCGTAATGCCATAGACATGAAAAATATACTTGGCTTCATAGTTTTCCTTTTAATCACTGTGTAATATTCTATGAAGAGACACACCAGAGAACTGAAGCTATGGGTTTGCATAAAGTCAGGCAGGAAAGATAATACAGGGTGAAAATAGCAGAGGGTCAAGAGAGTCCTAGGAAAGATAAATATGCAAGTGGTTGACAAAAGTAGAGTTCCAAAGAGACAGGAAAATTAGAAACCAAAGGAGGAGAAAGTTTCTAGAAGGAAGGATCAATAATATAAAATTATATAGGTCAGGATAAAAACAAAATGCTTTTTAAATGGGGTGATCCGGACATTAACCCTTTGAGTGCCAACCAATATCCTAGGAACTATGCTAAAATTGCCAAGGCATTTTTGCTGATTTTACAGCAATTTAGGAAAAAAATTATGAATCGCAAGTAAATGAAGTTACATATTCAAAAACTTAAGAAAACCTTTACTACATTTGTTTTCATCTTTAACATATATTGTTTGCTGATTGTTTTATAAAATACGAGTAGAAAAAAAATTTTGAACAAAACATATAAACTAGAGGGACACCCTTCTCCAATATCTTCCACAAAATCGTCATCTTCACAGCAAGAATTGACATATTTAGTAATATCATCATCACTAATAAAAGCAAACTTAGAACTGGACGCTATTTCAAAGCTTTAGGGCCACAAAATCTGAGTAAACTTCATAAAATCGTAGTACCTGTAAAAAATTAGGCAGATAGATGCCAGTGGTCAATTTTAGAACTACAAACATTCGGCATCATAAGTAATCTGCACTTAGGTGCCATCTGTCAATAAAGAGTGAACTACTAGCATCTAATAGTGACACTGCAGGAGGAGCGCGATAGCACTCCCAGCACTTTTGGCGAAAGACAGGAGGAGCGCGATCACACTCCCCGGCAGTCTAGGGGTTAAGTCAGAGCAGTATCATGGGAGAGGTAACTTGTCCCATGTCTTATAACCAGGAAGGTACAGAACTGGCAAGAAATCTCGAGTCTTCTGGACGTATCTTCAACCATGGATAAAGTTGAGGTGGACAGTTTTGTCCTTGAAGCCAAATCCTTGATACTATAATTAGGATGATTTAGGTTGGACATTAAAAATATTTCCCAATTTGCATGGTTATAGAAAACTGAAATGAGTTGATAAGTTCTGTCTTCCTATATTTAGGGAACACTTTAAAGAAGGGGAGCTGCAAATTGTGACAGAATGGGGGATACATTTTCTTATGCTATCCATCTGATTATTTTTTCATCCCTGAGATTTCTTTACCTTATTGCCCCATTGGTGCGGAAAGCCATCCATTGTCAATACTATCATGAGAGTGCATCAAGGAACACGGAAGGCTGATGAAACTTGAGCTTTAGCAGGGTTAAAGCTATGCACCAATTGTTCCATGTTGAGATAGCGATGGCTTGAAGCAATTTCCTGACCTGATAGCCTCAAAGTAAATCTTTACTGATCTTTACTGACCTTTGAGATGGTCTGTCTGCTACCTGTTTGCTGTGCTTTACTGAGGGCAAGATGTGTATTTAAAACTGAATAAAAAGTGGATTGGCCAAAGTTTCGGTGTGCTCTTCACAAAAGAGATACCCCTGGCCCCCTAAAGCCTTCTAAATTCATATTTCTTGTCTAGCATTTTCATTTGTGTGAGGCCCCTTCTTCAGATCCTGAACCCCCGCTGCAAAAGGTTGTGGCACATTGGATCCCAAGGAAACCATACACAGGAGCCCTTTAATGTAATTTTATTTTATTTTATGTCCTTGCTCGCATGGACAGGAAAATCTGCAAAATCCAGTGACTAGCATAAGATGACATGTCTTTGATGTGAGTGGGATGAAGATAATGTTAGGGCTCTGTGAGGATATAGAGAGGGGAGCTGTGGAAATGAAAATGAAGGGAGGGGGCAAGGCTGGGCCCACTTCTGGAAAAGGGGAAAGCAGTGGGTGGGTTCCCATCACAAGTTCGCCATCAGCCAGTCCAGCAGCTGCAGCCGTGTAACGTTTCCCACCGCCTCATCCAGCTGTCGCTCCTTCTCGTAGCGCAGCACTGACTGCAGAACCTCCCCTACGCTGCGTCCTTTGTCCACAGCGGCAGCTGAAAGTTGAAGTAGCTGTGGAAAGGAAAGAAAACAGTAGTGGAGGGCAGAACATCCCAGAACAGGCCAGAAAGGTTCTGCCAAGGCTAGAACAAAGAGGTCAGGTAGACTTGGAGAAACGTCAGCAGAAGGGATTCAAAGTAGATGTTGAGACTTCCTTAATTGTAAAGTTTACTGAACTGTTGCCGGAAGAAAGTTGGTTATATCACCTTCAATTTAAAAAGATATTAATATCCATCTGTTCATGATATGGAAAATCTAATTTCCTTCTAGACTAAAATCTTCCTGCTTCCAGTGGCTGTTTGGTCAATGGTATTCTTGCTTTCTAAGAATTCCAGTGTTTTTAAGTTTACATAATATCATCAAGCAGTCCCCATCATTGTCCCAAGACCAACAAGGGCAAGAGAGAAATATGTTAAAGGACAATGTGGATGCTGTCCCATGCCCCACAGATGAGAGACCCTTCAAGTGTTAGAGAAGGAATGCAGTTCAAAGATCCATTCAACCTTCACTTGTCATAATCAGATTGCTTAAAACATCTTCATGAAGATGTTTCCCAGAGAGGTGAAGAGACTTGTCAGTGCTAGAAATTAGCAAGGGTAAAATTCATACCCAAGTCTCTGAATCAATGTTTAGTTTTCTTTCCAAGTATAAAATGAGAAAAAATATCCAAAGCAACTGTTCTAATATGAACATAGTAGATTGCCATTCATCTGGAATCATAGCAGCAACAAACAAAAGTAACCTAATTTTTATTTTGTACATTATGCACCTGACTCTATGATGAAAAGTCAAAGAGCAAGGAAGCAGGCCAATATCAGGAGCTCTTTCAGAAGGGAAAATTTCCATGTGAGAATTAAAGTACTTACAAATACTGTTGACACAAATGGAAACACAAAAAGTCTTGGCATAAAGAATAACCAAATGGAAATTTTAGAACTAAGACAAAAAATTCAACATGAAAACTTGTTGGATGGGCAGAATAAAGATAGAGGAAAATCAGTAAACTTGAAGATAGAACAATGGAAATTAGCCACACTGAAAAACATAGGATTGATTAAACTTCAAAAAAGATTAAGAAAATAAACAGAACTACAGGGCCTGTAGGACAATACAAAATGTTTTACATTTATGTCATGAGAATCCTAGAAGAGGAGGAAAAGTGTGGTATAGAAAAATACTTGAAGAAATAATGGGTAAAAACTTCCCTAACTTGCCACAAGACATAACAAATTTAAGAAGCTCAGTAAACCTGAATAAGATAAACTCAAAGAAATTCACTTTAAGACTTGTCATAATCAGATTGCTTAAAACAAAACAAAACAATAAAAAATCAAAAGCAGCCATAGAGAAATGCTATATTATAAGGGAACAACAATTTGAGTGACAACGGATTTATCAGAAACCATAGACACCAGAAGGATATGACATAGTAAAGCACTAAATGAAAAGAACTTTCAAACCAGAATTCTACATCCAGTAAAAATATACTTCAGGAATAAGGAAAATTTCAGGGAGTGGGCAGGGAGAAGTCAATGGGGGAAAAGAGAGACATATGTAATACTTTCAACAATAAAGAATTTAAAAAAATTTCAGATGAAAGAAAACAGAGAATTCATTGTCAGATAATATGTTCTAGTTCTTAAGACAAAAGGATAGTGATATCAGAAGGAAACTGGGAACAGTGAGAATAAATAAAGAACAACAAATAGTAAAAATTTCAGTTTTATAAAATACTTTTATGGTTGAAAGTAAATATAACATTGTATGAAAGTTTTTTAAATCTACATGGAGTAAATACATGAAATAACTAAATATAGAGGAAAGTGTAAAGGGGCCTAAATGGTAAGATGTCTACATTCAGTTAAAGTGGTAACTATCGCCAAAACCGGTTTGGCTCAGTGATAGAGCGTCGGCCTGCGGACTGTAAGGTCCCGGGTTCGATTCCGGTCAAGGGCATGTACCTGGGTTGTGGGCACATCCCCAGTGGGAGATGTGCGGGAGACAGCTGATCGATGTTTCTCTCTCATCGATGTTTCTGGCTCTCTATATCTCTCCCTTCCTCTCTGTAAAAAAGAAATAAAATATATTTAAAAAAATATGAAAAAAAAATAAAGTGGTAACTATCTTACATAGACTGAAAAGTTAGGTATATTCTAATTCCTAGGGAGAAAAAAACACTACAAAAACTACACAAAGAAATATAGTAAAAATAAATTAAAATGGAATACTAAAAAATGTTTAAATAATTCAAAAGAAGGAAAATAGAAAGGAAAAATAGAACTAATATTAAAATAGTAGACCTTACTCCAAACATATCAATGATTAGAAAAATGTAAATGGTCTAAACACATAAATTGTCAGAATAAAAAATATATATGACCCACCCGGCAGTGTGGCTCAGTGGTTGAGCTTGACCTATGAACCAGGAGGTCACGGCTCGATTCTCGTCTGGGCACATGCCTGGGTTGTGGGCTCGATCCCCAGTGTGGAGCATGCAGGAAGCAGCCAGTCAATGATTCTCTTTCATCATTGATGTTTCTATCTCTCCCTCTCCCTTCCTCTCTGAAATCAATATATACATATATATGTATGACCCAACTATATGCTACCTACAAAAAACTCACATTGAATGGTTAAATGATATAGGTAGGTTAAAAGTAAAATTACGGAAAAAGATGTACCACAAAAACACCTATTTAAAAAAAAAAGCTTGAATCTCAACATTTATGGTCAATTAATTTTTATGAAGGGAAAAATAATTCAAAAGGTCCAGATATCCATTTATCTTTTCAACAAATGGTCTTGAGAAAACTGCATATCCACAGGCAAAACAATGAATCAGACCCCTACTTCACATCATACACAAAATGAACTCAAAATGGATCACATACCTAAAAGTTGAAATTATCAAATATTTTGAAGTTAAAAAAAGAAGAAAATCTTCATAACCTTGGGTTGTGTCAATGTTTCTTAATCTGGCAATACTGACTCTATGGGCCGGATTATTCTTTGTTGTGGGGTTGTCCTCTGCGTTGTGGAATGCTTAGCAGCATCCTTGGCCTCTACCCAGTACACTCTAGTAGCAATCCTGCTGCTAGTTCTGACAACAGTATATAGCTCCAGACATTCCCAAATGTCCCTTGGGGGCAAAACCGCCTCCTCCAGTGGAGAACCAACCCACTGGGTTATGCAAAGATTAGCTACAACATCAAAACACAAGCAATAAAAAGCAAAAAGCGATAAATTAGATTTTACCATTAAAACTTTTGCTTTTCAAAAGACTCCATTAAGTAAAATTAAAAAAAAAACATACTGAGAAAATATTTGCAGATCATATATTTGATAAATAACCTGTATCCAGAATATATAAAGAATTCTTGTAACTTTATAACAAGATGAAAACAACCCAGTCAAAATATGGACAAAAGATTTGCATAAACAGTTCAACAAAGAACATATATGAAGAGCTAATTAGCACATAAAAAGATGCTCAAATTAAATCCACTATATATACCACCATAATAGCTATAATATATAGTGTTGATGCGGATGTGGAGAAACTAAATTGTTGGTGGGAATATAAAATGGTACAACCATTTTGAAAAACAGTTTGGCAGTTTTTAAAGACATACTTACCATAAAGTGCAGCAATTCAACTCCTTGTTGCCCAAGAGAAAAGAAAATGTATATACACAAAAAACTTGTATATGAATGTTCATATTAACATTAATCACTGTAGCAAAAAAGTGGAAGCAATTCAAATGTGCCTTAATTGGTAAATGAATAAACAAAATGTTGTTTATCCATATAATGAAACACTATTCAGCAATACAAAGGAATGAACTACTGTTATATACAACAACATGGATAAACCTCAAAAACAAAATGCTAAGTGTGAATAGCCAGATGTAAAATACTATATATTTATAGCTTCATTGTTTAAAATTTTGGAAAGGTAAATCTATGATAGAAATCCAATTAATGGTTACCTGAGGCTGGGGGTACAAATTGAGAAAAATAGCCTAGAAAATTCTGAAATAGAGAAATAAGGAGTCTAGTCCTATCAGATATTTTTAAAATTATAGAATGGCAGTGATTAAAATGGTGTGCTAATTTAAATAGTATTAAAACAGTAAATAGTTAAATAATTCAATGAAACAGAAAAGAAAGTTCAGAAAAAGAACCAAAGGTAGGTATCCATCTGAAAAAAAATAAGAGATTGCATTCCTACCTCATATTTTATATAAAAATAAAAATCGATCAAAGTCTTAAAATTTTTAAAAAATACTGCGCGTTGGAAGAAAACATGGGAAAGTATTGTTAATATCTTGGCATAAAGAATGTCTTCCAAAATATGACATAAAATTCAGGAAAAATAAAAGAAAAAAGTGTCTTAGATTTGACTATGTAAACATTTAAAAAATTCTATATGGCATAAACAAAACACCAAAAGACAAATGATTAAAAACTGTATTTAATATCACAAAGGCTAATTTCCTTATACATAAAACTCCTACAGATCAATAAGAAAAGGACCAACAACCCAACAGAAAAATGGGCTGAAGGTATAAACAAACAATTCATTCACGAAAAAGGGAATTCAAATGGCTCTTAAACATTAAAAAGATATTCACCCTCATTCCTAATAAGCCAAGTACAAAGGAAGGCAACACTTGGCAAAGATCAAAAGTTTGTCCTCACTGTTGATTAAAATATGGAAAACATGCATTTTTATATTGTTTTAGTAGATATGCAAATTTGGTGCAAGCTCTATGGAAGGCAATTTGAAAATATATATCAAATATACAAACAGAAAAAATATATATACAGACAGACATTTATGGTGATCTTGAATCCTTTTCTAAGTATTTAGCATATACAGATACATTTGAATTCTGTGCACATGGCATTGCATATAGTAGCAAAATACTGGCAACTGAAATGTCCATACATGGGAAAGTGGTTAAATACAGCACCTTCATACAATGAAGTAATATGCAGCTATTAAAAAGAATGCAGCAGCTCTATATGTTGCAGAACAGGATATACATGGTGTCCCCCCAAAAATGTATATATACTTTGAATAATTATTAATTTCAGTGGGTTAAATCTGAAAAGAAAGAAACAACAACTGATATCAGCTGTAAAGTGTGTATACATTTTTTAGGACACCTATATATATCTTATTATCATTTGAGACTTAAAATGAGATGCATACATATAAGTACTTACTTGTGTATGCACATGTATTTCTAAAAGGATAAGCAAGAAATTGATCACAATAGTTTTCTCCAGAGAGAGCAACAAGATGGGAGATAAGAATGAGAAGAAAAAAAACACCTTAGTTTTCACTGTACATCCTTTTGTGCCTTTGGATTTTGAACTATGCACACATTACCTATTTAAAAAATGGATACAAATTTATTTAAAGGAAGTGGGCTCATGGACATCCCAGTGTTACTGGGTTCAAGTCAGCATGAGAATATTTGTATACATTAATTAAATCTCTTTCCCCCCAAAATTTCAAATCTATCTTTTGGGAAGTTTCTTTGATGTATACTTCATCCAACTGTTCTTAAAATTATACTGATATTCAACGAAAATTGCCTCATTAGTTGAAGTTTGGATGTCCTTTCCATTTTTTCCTTTAATAAAATAGATGACCGTCTTTATCTTTACAAATGGGAAAAGATGTTTGGGTATTGTGTGCTTGTGTGTGTGTACAGGGGAAGGACTACAAGGCTATTGTGCCCATTTTAGATAAGTATGTTACAGACATTCTAATTCAAAATAATCTAAAACCAGAATGTATTTTATATACAATGGGTTGAATTAAGAGATGGCAATGGAACAAAAGCCTGTTTCACACATTGTACATATGAGAGCTATGCTTCTTTTTATATTTTTCATCAGTCTATAGCTTTTTTGAATATAGCCCCCCTCTATAAATTGCTGTTTTACAGACTTGTAAAATTGTAGCGACAGAGACACTTTACATTTTGCTAAGAACTCTTAGGAATATTTGTAGGATTGGAAAACTCGAATGTACACACAAATCACCTGGTGATTTTGCTAAATTGCTAAAATGAAGATTCTGATTCAGTAGGGCAGAAGTGGAGCCTGAGATTTTAAACTTCTAACAAGCTCCCAGCTGATACCAATGTTGTTGGTTCAAATAGGCCACATTTTGAGTAGCCTTCTCCAGATCAGGTATTTTCTTGTTTAGGTTTAGTGTACTGTAGCCTAATCTGGATGCTATCAAATCCTGTGTCTTCTCAGTCATCAGATAAGCCAAGTAACCCAGTTGCAAGGGTTTCTGCCACTTATTAAACAGACAAAGCCTATTCCTCCACATCCTCTGGTTTCTATGAGCATGAATTATTTTAATAAATAATCCCAGCCTCTTTTGCCACCCCTTACTATTTAATTGTTAACCACCATTGTTCCACTTTTATCAATTGAGACACAAGAATCAAAAGCCCTAAAGTGATGTGTGTGTCTGGTGAGGATAGTCTCTATTTCTTAATTCCTCTACAATAGCATGAGGCGGCAACTTGCGTAAGTGTTCATGCTTTCCAGACTCAAAATCTCCCTTCAGTGAGCAGTTCCAAGGCCTTATCTTTATTAGTAATAACAATGATAAGTTGATTTCCCATTTGCCTTATTCTTTTTATATATATAGTTTTACTGATTTTAGAGAGAGGAAGAGAGAGGGAGAAATAGAAACATTGATGAAAGAGAAACACAGATTGGCTGCCTCCTACAGGCCCCCTGCAACTTGGGCATGTGCCCTGACCAGGAATTAAACTGTGAACTCCTGGTTCATAGGTCAATGCTCAACCACTGAAACATGCCCGCCGGACCCATTTGCCTTATTCTTTAGTCTTATTTTTCCAACTGATTCAGAACTTAGGGCAAGGAGAAGAGGGATGCTATTTATCAAATCCCTTTAAATCCCCAATATCTCCTAGACAACCAGCTAAAAGAATAATGAAAGTTTTGAAAAGCTCATCAATCTAGATCCTTCATGCCACCTGCTCTTCCCCCCGCCCCCCAGCCTTAACACATCCCTAGAGTGCTTCCCAGCAGTCCCTTCTCATTCGTTGGGCAATGCTGTCCTATCCAAAATTCAGCCTGAAGCTCTGACCTTAATCTGAGTCTTTTACCAAGTATCTTGGAGTTCCTCATCTATGCAATTCCACCAATATATGCAGAAAAAAGAATCAGATTTGATTTATCATATACCTCCTTCTTCCCCCTTTTAAGTGACTCTTATTGGGCAAAATATAATTTTATTTTACCCATTATTTCTGCAAAGAGGCATGATCTTCAAATTCTTACTGTCCCCATTCTTCTTGTGCCTATCTTCCCATTTAGAAAGAAAACAACTTAAACCCCCAACGAACCATTAATAAATATTTCCAAATTCCTCTGACTCTTCTTCCTTACCTTCTCTTGGATTCCTTCATCATCACCAGCAAAGTACAAAATAGGGACATTGAGCTCAGAGGCAGCTACCCATTGAAGTACGGCTTGGAGTTGCTTGTTCTGAACTGTATCAATTAGGTTCTGATTGCTGACAACCACTTTGGTGGATGCACACCCTTCAGGGAGCTGTCCCGATACACCTCTCAATTCATTATGGATAGCTTGATAGGCATTCTGCAAGACAGCCTCTGCTGTCCCTGTGCCCTTGACTGGTAAGCACTCATAGAAACTATCTGGGAAGGTTGAAGCTGGCCTGCTGGCATCCCCAGATTTATCATCTCCCAGCTCTGCCAAGGGAGAGTCACAGGACTTAGCAATAATGACACACAACTTCATCACTGAGTCCATCAGATGTTCTATCATCTGCCCATTCATGTGGCTCGTGACCATCTTGGCCAGCCCAGCAAGAGTACCACCAGACTCATCACCTTCACTCACTTTGATGGGACAAGGGGGTACAGGTCTTTCACATAGGTCTTCCTTTATTGGTTGTTCTGGCACCTTGGGTTCAGAGTCATTCTTGAAAATGGTCTCACCAAGTAAATTCCTGATAAAGTTGAAGAAAACACTCATTAGATCCTTCTTCTCTGTTTCCTCTTGGTTACCTTCCATATGTGAAGACTTAAGGTTGGTCTCAGCAGAAACTACAGGGGCCTTGTTGGTAGGAAAGTTGGTTCTACCAGCAGCTTCAAGGAAGCTCTGTGCATCCATGCTTCCTCCCTGGGCCAGGTGGTATTGAATCAGAAGTAATGCAGATACAAGCAGGTCCTTGGCCCAGGAGTCTGAATCACACATAAAATTCTCAGGGTTCTCTAGGTGATGCACAGGGGGGATGAAATTGCAAGTATCCAGAGGATATTCCAGCGGAAAGTCTGGGGGAGGGTCATACTGGTTGCTGGGAGTTGTTGCACACTGAGAATCTGGAGATTTTCCTTCTTTATTCTGACTTTTATGCCATAAACTCAGGCCCTCTTTGATAATGTGTTCACCCAAAGTTTCAACACAAGTCTTCTCTGGTTTGCATGGAGGAGAGTACATTCTTTCCTTCAATTTACCTTCAGATTTCATTGTTGCAAAATTTACCTTTTGGTTTTTAGGACCACCCATTCCTTTCATGGAGACCACGGAATAACTCTCAGACTTGTCCTTGGTTTTCCTGATATTCTCAGGAGGTTTCTTGGCAAACATCACACTGTATAGCTTCCACAGCATAGCATCCATAATATCTGAGGCCTTTTGGCTTCCATGAAAGAAGAGACTTCTTTTCACAGCCGAGACAAAGTCTGTATCAGTCATGAGGGTCCCTGTGACATTGTGGAGGTTCTTCATGAGGGAGTCAATGAGATCTGAGACTACCTCTTTTGCATGCCCAAGTAGTACCTTCTTCAGCAGGATGGTGGCAATGGTTGTGTCCTTCACTTGGATTTTCAGAGTCTTCATTATGGAGACCATCATATCAGACACCACACTGTTAGCATAGGTCATGATCTTTTGACTAACAGAAGTTGTAAAATCATCAGGCCTTTCTTGCCCTTTGAACATCTTTCTCTCCCCAGGTAAGGACCTTGCACCCTCTTTGGAATCACCTGCATTATGAGATTCAAACACTTCTTTATAGAAGAAAGACTTCTTAGAACTAGGCTTGCCATCTGGACCCTTGCATTCATTGATCTTCAGGGAGGTCTTATATCTCAAATTTGAGGGACTCTGCAATGATTCAAAGACTCTGTCACCAGAGCCAGGAACCTTATCTGAGGTAGTATTCTTGGAATATTCAGAGACAGTCTCATTCACCAGCTCTGATGCCACCTTACTCAGGCTTTTGCTAGGGGGGGGTTCATCCCCCATGTACACTGACTGATGGACACATTTGTTCTCAGAGCCATCGATCTTTTCATTGATCTCCTTGCGGGCCATGGCTATGACTAAATTTGTGAGGCGGTTAGCATAGAAGGAAACTTCATCCACTGTACTCCCATTATCATCTTGGGCACCGGAACCTGGGAGAGGGTTTTCTTTGTGAGTCATCTCAAAATGAAATCTCCCTGCATTGTCCTTGTTGGTGTTATTGTAGTAGTCCACAGAGAAACCCTTCTGTGGGTCTTCTGAGTTGGTCATTTCCCCATCAGGTGATGATTCTCCAGGCTTGAACCTAACACTTTGGAACCCTGCTGTAGTTTTTTCCAGGTCTTTGCGGAGCCAGCTGAGCACTCTGACAGGATCAGTTGAGGCTTCCTTAAAAACAGACAAGTATTCATCCGACTACAACAAAGTAAACATAGGGGATATTCAGGACAACTCAAAGAGCAGTTACAAAAATGGTCACTTTGCTCAAGCCTGAACTCCTCGTCATCACAATAAAAGTAACCAATGTTTATTAAGTGCTTACTATTTATCAGGCACTGTTCCAACTATTTTGACTATTATCTCATTTAATATTACTCTCATAGTAAACTTAAATGTTAGCTCTCTTATTATTCATAGTTTACAGAGGAGGAAATTGAAGAACTGAGAGATTTAGCTACTCACCTGAGGTTATACAGCTAATCATTGATGGAACAAGAATTCCCACGCTGGCAGTCTGACTCCAGAGCCCATGCTCTTAGCCATTGCACTATATTGCATCTAACAACATGTATCCTTAAGATCTGACAGTTATCACATTCACAGCTGAATTAGCATTTGAACTAAATCAGATTTTTCTTGTATTAATGTTAACCGCTATTTCCTATGGTTAATCTGTTTTTATTTAGGTCTCTTATTACAAAATATAGTTTTCAAAAAATTATAAAATTCAAGGATAATTGTGCATAGTTAATCACTTTGCCAGGCTACACAAGCACAATCTGGATATGCTAAATGACTTCCAAAGGACTATTTAATATCACTTTAAGTTAAAAATCTGATTTATAATTGAGGAGTTAATACCTGTGGACAATTTATTAGTTTTAAGGGAATACAGATTCTTTGGTGGACACTAGCTGTGATAAGCACATGCACATACTTATATGTTTATATTTTGTAATCTATAATCTTCATTTGAACACAAGCTAAAATAAGAATGTATATAAAATTATCCTATTCACTATCAAATGTAAAGGATCATTGTAATTATTGGAGTTATAGCTCCTGGAATAACAAGTATTGCCCATCTTTAAAGATTAATTTGGTACTTTAATTACCAAGTGTCATATAGTTACTAACTACTATTTGTTAAATACTATGTTTGCCAGGCATTGTGCTAAGTGCTTTACACACATTATTTAATTTAATCCTCATACACAGCCTGTAAGGTAGATATCACTCATCCAATTTCACAGGTAGGAAAACTGAGGCATAGAAAAGTCAAATAAATTCACTAGCATCTCACAGCTACTACGTGATGAGGGTTAGTGTTCAAATCCAGTTCCTACTCTAAAATTGGTGCTCTACCCGCAGCTGTATTTTGATGACTTGGAAAGAAGAGGAAAGCAGTTGTACAGTCCTCTGCAGGGCTGGTTTAAGCTGCCTGTTGGCCACAGTTCTTGGTTCAAAGTCTTCCTAGTTGATTATCCTTATATGGGCACTGTAGGGAAATTTTGTGCTTCAGTGGAAAACTATGCATAATTTATAGCATATCCTTCCACATTTTCTGATTCTAATTCTCTTAGAGCTATTTTACAATTCTGTAAAGTGTAGACAACTGATAGCAATGAGATATAATTGTTGTTTATACACACAATAATTTTGGCCAGGGAAGGATACATTGTAGAAAAGGTGCTTCCATTTGCACATTCACTTCAATATTCCTAATCTATAAATATGTCTTTTTTTCTTAGATTGTACTTTGAACCACACCAGTTCTTTGTTAATAAGTTAAATAAAATATTTAACATGAGTTTATTTTTATATATTTCTGAGAGTCATTATTTCACCTTTCTCTGAAAATGACCTTTTAACAGTTTTGGAAATCTTTGCCAAGATGTCTGACATGCTCACCTAACAGACATAAATGTCGTCATGAGAGTAGCGTACCAGGTGCTTCCTGGCCCTCAGAGATAAATGCCAAGTGGAAATGGAACTATGCAGGAATTCTGTTTTTCTAGTTTTAATTTTCTTCTCCACTAATTTTGCTTTTGATTTTCACTTTGGTTAAATAGTAGCAGTAATGATTAAGAAATTGGTTTTATTGTCTCGCTACTTGGTGATTCTTTAATGAATTATGGTTTATAGAGCTCTATTCTCTGTTGGGTAAGACACAACAGAAAATCTGTTTTGCTAGCATTTATTGCCTGTCTTAAAATCAATAATTTTGTGCCATTTGGAAGGAGAGGAGCCCTTTGATTTCTGGACAGGTAAGTTTTGTGTTTCTGTTTTTATTTTTGACATATGGCTTAAAGTTTATTATTCTTAATTGAGATATAATTGATATATAAATTAGAATAGTTTCAGGTGTTCAACATAATGATTCAATATTTATATATATTGCAAAATGATCACTAATAAATCTAGTAACATCTATCACCACACATAGTTCAAATTATTTTTTCTTATGATGAGAAATTTTAAGATCTACTCTGTTAGTGAGCTTCAAATATACAATGCAATATTGTTAATTATAGTCACCATGCTGTACATTCTATCCCAGGACTTACTTATTTTATAATTGGAAATTTGTATCTTTTAACCAACTTCACCCATTTTGTACCCCCAACCCCACCCCTTGCAACCATGATCTGGTTTTGTATCTATGAGTTCTTTCTTTTTTTCTTTAGATTCTACATATAAGATCATATGGTATTTGTCTTTCCCTCTCCGAGTTATTTCTCTTAGCATAATGCCCTCAAAGTTCATCCATACTGTTGCAAATGGCAAAATTTCCTTCTTTTTTATGGGTGAATAATATCCCATTTTATCACATTTTCTTTACCCATTCATCCACTGATGGACACTTAGGCTGCTTCCATGTTTTGTCTACTGTAAATAATGCTGCAAAAAACATAGGGATGCAGATATCTCTTCCAGATAGTGGTTTTGTTTTCTTCAGATATTTACTCAGACGTGGAATTGCTGTTCATATGGTAATTGTTATTTTAAATATATTTTCATGATTGATTAAATGAGATTAAATAAGATAATATGCACAAAATAACTTGTACACTTAATGTGGTGTCTATAAACTAGCTAATACCACTTAAACATTTCAAATAAAAATTAGACCTCAAAAGAGTTAAGAGAGAAGCCAATAAACTTGATCTTTAGGGCAATGCAGTAAGACACAGTTAACTAGCTATAGAAGCACTAGGGGATGAAACCTGACTTTTTGCATGTATGGGAAAGTAGTACTCTGGGTGGAAAGAGAAGTTCTGAAAGACAGTATGGCTAGGGATGTGTTTCATGATTCATTCCTGTCAGACCAGGTGGGAAGTGTGGGGAAACTACTGAGCTCCTATAACAAATCTTTTAAAAATTATTTTTCATAACCAAAGGTCAATAACAGGTGGGAACTTCCTAATGGACAGAATTTAGCTTTACAATGAAGATTTAGGGGGGGAAAGCTGCCCTTATGCATGCCTGAGAAAGTGACAGAGAAAAGGTGGTGGAGTCAGAGCAAAGACAGCATTCAAGAGATGGAAAATCAGGTTTCAAAGTAGATGCTAACCACCAAGAGGACCAACCTGATGGCCTGCTACTGCCGAGGTGATTTAGGGGAGACAAATGATGTGTAACACAAACTACCTGTATAATGCAACATGTATATCATGTCTGTGTACAACACATATAGACACTGTAAAACATACAAAGGTGAAAGAAATATGCAATCTATTGTACAGACAAAACATGAACATAAATATTATTAAATACTATGTGATTAGTGCTATAAAATAATTAAAAGAGATATATTTAATATGAGAAGAGGGACAGAGAATTTTGGCTGGGTAACTAAAAATGAAGTGACATTTGAGATGAACTTTTAAGCATTTTGATAGTCAGATACTTAGGCTGGCAACAAAATGACAGGCAAAATCTATTATTTGGGGTAATGCTAGTTTTAAATCAACTCAGTGGTGTGACAAAATAGAGTCTTGATCACTTTGCTTAGAGAGGGTATTCAAAGAGCAGCTGTCTTTGTAGTGACTTGGGGACCCAGGTTCTGCTTTTCATGGTTTCACCCTCTCTTTGGCCTCAGAACCTTTTCTTTAAGTCTGTGTATGAGGAACGACAGAGACAGTAAAGGTCTGGATAGGAGGCTTTTGTGGTCCAGGCCTAGAAGTGACAAATATCACTTCTACCCATGATCCATTTGTCATTGTCTTTTGAAAGTTTGATTATAATGTGTTTCAATGCAGGTCTCTTTGAGTTCATCTTGAAGTTCATTGAATTGCATGGATGTTTAGTTTCATGTTTCATCAGATTTGGGAAGTTTCCAGCTATTATTTCTTCAAATATTCTCTCTGCCCCTTTCTCTTTCTTTTCTCCTACTGGGACTCCCACAGTGTATATGCTTGTTTGCTTGATGTATCCCACAGGACCCTTTGGCTCTGTTCACTTGTCTTCAATCTTTTCCCTTTCTGTTCCTTAGACTTAATACTTTCCACTTTTCTATCTTAAAGTTTGCTGATTCTTTCTTATGCCTGCTCAAATCTGCCTTTAAATCTACTAGTGAATTCTGCATTTCCATTATTATGCTTTTCACCTCCAGAATTTCTTTTAGGTTATCTGTAGGTTTTGTCTCTTTATTAATATTTCTTGTTTGTTCAGATACTGTTTTTTTTTACTTTCTTCAAATCTTTTCTTTAGTTCTTTGAGTATCTTTAAGACAGTTGGTTATAGTGTTGTCTAGTAGATCTAATATCAGGGCTTTTTCAGAGACAGAGCCTGTTGATTTTTTTTTTCTTTGAATGGACCATACTTTCCTGTTTCTTTGTATGTCTTGTGATATTTTGTTGAAAACTGGACACATGAATCTAATGGCTGGCTGATGCTATAAGCTGTCTATTAGGTTTGTATACTGTGTCTGTCATTCATAAAAGCATTAAGTGTAAGTAGTAATGTTTTCCTATCTCCACATTGTATTAATAAGTTAGATTATAAAGTCTATTAAATTAAAAGACCTCTATTCTGATTGGATAAAGTATTATTATAGACCCTGACTCAGAAATATTTTAGGAACCTAAGTTTACATAAATTGGGTAAATCTTTACAAGTTAGATAAGTTAGGTACGTCTAACTTAGGCAAGCAAGATTAGTTTAATAATTTTAGTAGAATAAAAATAGTTATGTCTTTTCTGATTTATCAGTGTTAAGAATAATACTAGTGTTCATTTTTATTTCACTTTGATATGATCTTCATAAATTTGTACATTACATAGATCCAATAAGCTAGTATTACTTCTACTTAATGTTTAAGATGATGAAAAATATAAATTTGTATTTAATCCAGTTGAATAATTATTCTGACAAACTTTATTTCAATTTATGTTTTATAATATGTCAACTTGATTATAAATTTCCAACTTTTTTTTTTACATTTTTATTGATTTCAGAGAGGAAGGGAGAGGGAGAGAGAGGTAGGTAGACTCATCAATGATGAGAGAGAATCATTGATTGGCTGCCTCCTGTACACCCCCTACTAGGGATTGACCCTGCTACCTGGGCATGTGCCCTTGACTGGAATCGAACCCAGGACCCTTCAGTCCATAGGCCCATGCTCTACCCACTGAGCCAAACCGGCCAGGGCATTTTCAACATTTTTATGTAACTTAAAACACTGGACTGGTATTAAATTGAGTTAGTTAATGGATATTCATGGGTTACTTAGATTATACCTAAGTAAAATAGAAAAGGAAATATTGATAACTAAGCATAGCTTATATGATTTTGCTTCTTGTTTTTTATTGCTATAGAAAGTATATGACTTTGGATCTGTTAATGAATGTGTTCATTTTTGCCATATAGGTTGTAGAAGGAATGTGCGTGGTTGTAAAAATTGTCTTATGTATCATGAGCTCTACTAGTCTGTACATTAGCTGGTGTGTAATAGTTCACAATTATATACCTCTCCCTCCATAGTTTTCCTTTTGAAATAGAAAGAAAGAAAATACTTATAAAAAAGTTATAATTAATAGAAATGGTTGAGATTATATTTAGGAACATAATGTCAAAGAAATCCAATGGCATACATGCTTGTTCTTCTAGGAACTGCAGGTAAAACCTGGTAGGGTTTCTTAGTCTTGAATTTTTAGTCACAGAATAGCAAATAATAAAGGCCTATACAAGTCCAATCTAAGATTCCTTATGAAAACTTCCAGCAAAGCAAACTATCTGGTTGCTGTACCTATGTAAATAATCAGGCCAATTCTGATGAGACTATCCTGATTTTGTGATCAAAGTTACTTTGAGAATTTTTATTAAAATGAAGGCAACTGTAGGGAAAAAAAACTTGTACTTCAATATAAAACTATGTATTATCCCTAGTCCATAGTCTATAGACTAAGCATTGTTTACATCTTTCTACATAATCTGTTTTTGATTCTATGGAAGCTATTTTACATGTCTGTAAACTGTAGATAATGATAGCAATGCAAAATAATTCTGTAGTCTATAGACATGTAAATTCTGCCCAGTGGAAGTTCAGCTGACTTCCCTTTCCCACTGTGGAAGAAGCCAGTTTTACCTCTATTTGTGCATTTATTTCAATATTCCTGACCTATAAATGTATATATATATTTTGTTGTTCTTGAAGTGGTTATAACACTTCATCAATTTTTTCATTAAAGAGTTAAATAAAATCTTTAACATGCACTCATTTTCATATCTGATTGGGAATCTTGATTTCACCCTTTTTTGAAAATTATCCCTTAATAGTGACTACTTATTTACAGATAGGCACACTACCTGCAAATAGGCGTGTTTCCATAATTGAGCTAACATGTAAAGGTAAGTCTGGTTAATGCAGATGTGGGATTTATTCTTTTATCCTTTTCAGTTCTTTCACAGAACATTAAAAAAATAGCAACAAACCTACAGCATAGCATAGAACTTCATGATAGAGTATAGAGTTGTGTTAGCATGCTGTGTTTTTAGGTTTTGTTTGTTTGTTTGTGAGAGAGAAAGACAGGGGAAGGGAGAGAAATATCAATTGGCCACGCCCCGACCGGAGATTGAACCAGCAACCTAGATATATGCCCTGACTGGAACTTTCAATCTTTTGGTGCCACTGGCCAAGGCTTGCTGTGTTTATAGGTTTTTATTATCTATGTTTTTTAAACCTAAAATGTGTGTACCCTATGTCCATTATTCCACTTGAACTGGTTATAACACTTCATCAATTTCCTCATTAAAGAGTTAAATAAAGAGTAAATAAATAGAATAATTTTGCTAAATAAATAGAATAATTTTGCAAAAGTCCTTGATGAAGCCGTAGTGACTGACTGAGTTCAATGTACAACTAAATACCCATCTCTTTTAGGGGAGGTGGATATCAAATTATTTCTGAATCTTTCTGAATCAAAGCTAGGGAAAAATTTCATGTCTTCACAAAGAATATGAAAAGGGTCAAGGGGTTTAATTTTCTCTCCTTGGCATCTTTTGCTTTAAGAGCTTAGTTTTATTTTTTCAAAACTCACCTGAGGACATGTTTTTATAGATTTTAGAACGAAAGGAAGGGGGAGAGAAAGAGAGACAGAGAGAAACAACATTCAGTTGCCTCCCATATGCGCCTCGACCGGGATAGAACCCACAGTCTAGATATGTGCCCTGACTGGGAATGAAACCCACAACTTTTTAGTGTATGGAACAATACTCCAATCAACTGAGCCACTAGGCCAGGGCAGGAGCTTAGTTTTAAGTCAACATACTATAAACTTCCATTCTATTCTTCTTCATCTCTAGCTCAGTTAAGCATATTTTATAAAGGTTTCCCTGGCTACCTCACACTTTGAAATTATCTGTTCTTTAAACAGCTATAGCAATTACTATCCAGAAAATCCATTTGGCAAATTATCATAGATTTTTTATCATTAGTATCTGCCAGTTATTTAGAGCTTTTAAATTATATTTATATTTTCACATTTATTTTTTATTTTCCCAAATTAATGATGTCTATGAAAACTGAAATAGTTTTGTTCTTTTTTGCATTCCCCAGAATGCTTCTCAGTGAAAAATGAAGAAATTTCTGTTAATTTGTTTAATATTAAAACTCATCTGTTTTGTTTTTCTAAATGAAAGGACAGAGGTAAATAAAAGATGTGGTAGAAGCAGATTTGGTTGGCACTTACTCTATAATAAATATCATCTATATGTCTTAATGTCTTTTATAGATATGTAAATGTTTTATCTCTTAGGCAGGCTGTGTGATCCCATGACAATCACACTTTCTCCAAAGAGATCTTAAGCAGCCTTGATTGAGAAAGAGGAGTTTTTGTGAATTTTTCCGTGTCTTCCTTGTTCACTCTCTCAGCCTAGGGACAGCTGCTTTTTGCATTTGCTACTGCTAGAACTCTGGAGTCCTCTTTTACAGCCTTAGTAGTTAACTTGGTTAACAGTATTTTAACATGAAATTACTGTGTGGTTTCCATCTTCTGACTCGACCCTGACTTACAGTGCCTGATATTAAGTAAGTATTTAATAAATGTTTGTTGAATGATGAAGGCAGAATGACAATATTACTTAGATGAGAGTTTATAGTTCTGACAATTTTGAGGCAGCCTACATTTGAGAAAATACTTTCTATGAACAAAATTTTACAGCTGTAATGTATATTTTCATTAAATATAGCATATTTCTCCTACTAAATATCATATTATAGGAATGTTTCCCAAAAATTGTAGATGGAATTTTTTTGTTCTAAACAAGTTCATTTTTTTCCAAGAAATCAGTATTCAAAAATAAGAGGTGGATGGTGGTGGTGGAGACAATAGGGCTACTCTTAATGGCACTCCACATACCCTGAACCCATTATGTGTTTGTAAGGAGGTTGACAACTTACCATTTTCCAGTCCTGGGGTTGGCTATCCCCAGGTGAATAGACATCAACTTTGCACACCCCATTTTGGCTTTGTAACCAGTCAACCCTCTCAGACATCTGGAAAAAAAGGGGGGTATCAGAAGGGTAAGTGATATGAAAGTAGGGAGAAATAAGGTAAATAGCTGAGGTGTGGAAAACAGGAGCAATGCTTTCAATAGTGACCTGTGCCAAGAGCTACTTCAAACTCACCTACCTCTGGATAACTTCAGCTCTCAACTGCAGGAAGATTTCTTAAACACGTGTATCTCTTGTGCTAACGCCAGTGCCTGGTCTATACTAACGGTGCTTAATACAAATTTGTTCATCAAAGAACCTAAGCGCTCATGTCCTGCTTTTGGTGTGCTTGCTTGACAGCCCTTCCACATCCTGGATTTTCAGTAAACACTCAAAATTCAACATGATAAAATAGAATTAATTTACTCTTCCCTGCCTGTTCTTGCCCCCACCAACTTTAAAAAAAGTAATACACAGTTCATTTAAAAATGCATATATTTTTATTGATTTTAGAGAGGAAGGGAGAGGGAGAGAGAGAGAGAAACATCAGTGATGACAGAGAATCATTGATCGGCTGTCTCCTGCACACCCTACACTGGGGATTGAGCCTGAAACCCAGGCATGTGCCCTGACCGGGAATCGAACTGTGACCTTCTAATTCATAAATTGATGTTCAACCACCGAGCCACACGGGCTGGACACACAGTTCATTTTTAATTAATTTCTAGACCACCAGCTTAGTTTTATTAGCAGTAAGTCTAGTAGCTCTTCCTCCTCCAATTAGCGAAGAATCCTGGAGGAATTCTAACTCCCTGGTTCAGCCAAACTTCTGAATGCCAGAAGACATGTCATATGCACCACCTTTGTCCATGGAGGAGTAATACCTTGCAGATGTTTAATTTTCATAACCCTCCCAACACTTTTCTCTAATCCCTAATCTCTGTAATGACACCACCATTGACCTGCTTTTCTAAGTAAGCCAGAAAGCTGATACTCATTTTCTTCCACCCCAAGCCTCCCTCTAGCTACTACTATTTCTCTCTCAGTTGTCACTATTTTTCTTGAAAGAATTGCTAATCCTTGCTGTTTTTATCACCTTACCTCACAAATGAGCTTCATAACCCTTATTCCAAATACTCCTTTGGCCTTATTCTTATCCACTTATCACGGCATCTTATTTGATAGTCCTCGGGAACATGGCTAATTATCATGATCTGCCCACTGATAATCTAAAAGCACAAGAAGCTTCTCTTTCCCCCTTTTCCATGCCAAACTTCCACCGCCAGGCTTCTACAATGAAATTTCTCTTCTTTTATTAGAAACGTTGCTTAGGTCTATATTTGTCAATAAGCAACATAGAAAAAGATGGCCAATTTTTCTACTCCAATGCCCCCAAACATCTATGTGAAACATACATATATATCGATACTTTGATTCTAACAAATATACTGCTTTAAAATTCTATAATAATAAAGTACAGGAGCTTATCCAATTTTTCATGGTGCAATTGCATTTGTTCTTTGCTCCCACAGGATTTGTACCCGTTTTAACACCCCAATCACTGACTCAGTTCACTGACCTAGGGAAACCGTTTATTTTACTCTTCCTGACACTGTAATAAGATTCCTTGGGTAAGCAATGAGTTCTCCACCCGGATTAGAATCATCCAGAAAACTGTTTAACCCCTTGAGTGCCAGGAAGCACTATCGCGCTCCTCCTTTCGCCAAAAGTGCCGGGAGCGCTTTATTTTAACATTATATGTTTTGTTCAATTTTTTTTCTACTAGTATTTATAATACAATCAGCAAACAATATATGGCAAAGATGAAAACAAATGTAGTAAAGGTTTCCTTAAGTTTTTGAATATGTAACTTCATTTACTTGCGATTCATAATTTTTTTTTCCTAAACTGCTGTAAAATCAGCAAAAATGCCTTGGCAATTTTAGCATAGTTCCTAGGATATTGGTTGGCACTCAAAGGGTTAAAAAATACTGAATCTGAGGTACGACCATTCTCCCCCCCCCCAGAGAACCTTATTTCAATGGGTTTAGGGTGGTAAAACTTAGGCACTGAATTTCTTAAAAGCTCCATGGGTGATTTTAACATGCATCTAGAATTGGGAGTTTCTGGGCTTGGGCTTATTTGGAGAGATCCTCTCTGAGACAGACAGGCTAGCTCCAGAAAGATAATTATTTATTCTTTTCTTTAGAAATTTTCTCTAAGATTTTCTAACCTTCTTTGTTATCTTATTTTAATATTATTTATAAACCCAATAAGGAAGCTGTTAATGTCTATGAAATCAAACCCTTTATTGCCTCTTAGCAGCTCATATTAGATATAAATATTCTTATGCTTGAATCATAGCCATGAAGAAAGAAATGGGCGGTACTACTACTTGGCCAAAGAATGAGAAGACTAGGAAATGGGCTGTCCTGGACTGTTGAAATGCAAGTATCTTAGCTGCCAGTTTATTATTTCATCTTAATGAGTTACTTCTCGTAGAAAATAACAAAACCAACAGCATTACAGAATTATTTAAGCTATATATCACAATTAAAAAGAATATAGTTTAAATACAAAAAGTAAGGAAAAGATGTGACCACTTACTCTTACTGAGGATGGGTTCTGAGATATGAAGAAAGTTCTTGATCAATGTGTTGTTGTCTTCACTATCCCTAAGTTTACCCACCCCTCCTGCCATTTAATATAAGGAATCTACAATAGAAAAACACAAAAAATGATTAATTTTACACATGAACCATATTGCTTTTATTACAAAGTAATAATTTTGGCTTATTATTTTTCACATGTAGTACACAAGCAATGAGCACAAGATGACATTCAAATTTAAAATCCAGATCTTATTCTTGGAGCAGTCTGATGGTTTCCTAGTGACAAAAAGGGTTCATCTCTTTGCCAATAATTTCTGAAATGACTATTTTCTATGTTCAAATCATATATACAGGCTTATTTAACAGAAAACAAAAAGTTTTTAGCCTAATTTCAAACTTGCTCTAAAGCAGTGGTTCTTAACCTTCCTAATGCCACGACCCTTTAATACAGTTCCTCATGTTGTGGTGACCCCCAACCATAAAATTGTTTTCGTTGCTACTTCATAACTGTAATTTTGCTACTGTTATGAACCGTAATGTAAATATCTGATATGCAGGATGTATTTTTATTGCTACAAATTGAACATAATTAAAGCATAGTGATTAATCACAAAAACAATATGTAATTATATATGTGTTTTCCGATGGTCTTAGGCGACCCCTGTGAAAGGGTCGTTCGACCCCCAAAGGGGTCTCGACCCACAGGTTGAGAACCGCTGTTCTAAAGGCAGTCATAAGATAAGTAGCTAGAGTGGAGAATAAGTGCCCTGAATTCATAGATCTCAAAACACTTTGCAAGTATTCCTTTGAGGATTTGAGAGAAATATACACCCTCATACTATAAAAGGGAATTAATAGTTAATGTCAAAACCAGCTTCCAGATCAATTATCTTCCATATAGTACCTCTACTAAGACATTTAAATAGAAGACATTAGGGCATTGTGCTCTCATCTTGGAATATCCACCCAGCCTCCTAAAAAGTCCCTCTAAATCCCATCTTGCTTCATAACCCAGGTCAAATCTTACCCATCCATGAAATATTTTCTAAATACCTAATTGAATGTGATTGTTACATTTTGTTTCAACCCTCTTTATTCTCTTTAGCATTTTAATGGCTCGAGTATATTCTATCTCCTTTATTAGATGGCTTCATGAAAGCAGATACATTTTCTTTTTTAAATACTATTTCTTTTTTATATTTATATTGATTTGAGAGAGAGAGAGAGAGAGAGAGAGAGAGAAACATCAATGATGAGAATCACTGATGGGCTGCCTCCTGCATGCCCCACTGGGGATTGAGCCTGCAACCCAGGCATATGCCCTGACTGGGAATTCAACTGTGACCTTGTGGTTTATAGGTTCATGCTCAACCACTGAGCCACACCAGCTGGGCCAGATGCATTTTTTTATCCATCTCGGTATCCCTCATAGTAGCTAGTATCTTAAAGTTTGTGCTGAGAGAATGCATATACAAATACTGCCTATTTCTAATTCCAGATAGCTAAATTTTTCTTTAAATTGGAGAATCTGAGAACAAAACAAAAATGGTTTGCTCAAGTTTGCTATGGTGGTAAGCCATACATTCAGGCTTTCTTGAAGCTTGACTCCTTATGCAGATAATTTTCCCCTAGAGCTTTATCTAAGATGTATATACTTAACCAATGATTTATTAACACACCTTCCTACTCCAATATTAATAAATCAACATCTCAGAAGTGCTCTTGTACTCCTTTCACAAGCAGAAAGTACACTTACTAAACCTATATATCCAGCAAACACTTCCACTTACATATATCCTAATGTTTTTATTCTATTTTTCTATGTCTTCATGTTTATCTGTATCCATGAAGCTTGTTTTAAACTTTAAGCTTCCCAAATTGTCCTGGATAATAGTATACATAAAGAGGTACTTAAACACTTTTTTATGATGATATTCAGACTTCTAAATCTGTATACTTTTCCTAGAAGGAAATGAAAAAAGGGGGGGGGGGAATCTGAAGAGTTTAATGAAGCCATGAATGGATTAATACATTTCTTAACTTCAAAGTTGGTGAGTAATGTCCTTGAGTTAGGGTGGAAAATAAAAAAGGATGCTTTGTGTTATTTATTAAATTTGATGGGGGAAAATAAGCTAACTATATACAGTGTAAAGATAAATTAACCTTAGAAGCCTTTTATTCTAACCCCCTCATTTAGAAAATAGAGACTCAGAAAGGGAATATTAAAACCAGTGGTATATTCCTTTAAATATTACAGCTATGCAGGTTAACATCCTGGAAGCTGTGACATTTTTCTATGGCTAATAGAGGGATCCTCCAGCCAATCATAGGACTGACCTAAATGTTCCTTAAAAACACCACTGTGATTATTACTTCAATAATTGAGGAGTGTAAATCACTGAATGCCAGTCAGGGAGGGCATAAGCAACACAGGGGTATGGTTATAGTTGTTGTGCCCCAGACCTTAACTCCATCTCAAGACATTTTCTCCTGTATTCATCATAAGCAAGAAGTGCCTGTTTACTCAAGGTTCCTAAATTCATAGAAAAGCTCAAATTACAGGTGGCATAACTGAAGCTTTTGCAGGGTGGAAACATATCTGATCAAGTTTTGGAGTTTATTTTATCAGGTTTTATTACTAATTTTAGAAAGAATGTATTCTATTATACCCATTATCTTTTTCTCTTTCATTCCCTAAGTGTTTGGCATGTTGTTAGACACCCAATAAATTTGGTTGTTGGTGAATCAGTTTCAACTGATTTTTTAAAAATAAGGATTGGAAATATCTGTGTGTGTGTGTGTATGTGTGTGTGTGTGTGTATCTTTCTCTCAATGGTACTATTCACTGTTAAGCTTGCCTGTGGATCTCTTCTACTTTCACTTCCCCTTAGTAATACTTCTTCCTGTACTGCCCTACTAGTAGAGACATGTTCTCAACATGGTTAGCTATCTACATATCCTGCCTTTTTCCAGTTCTCTGTTGTGTAGCCAAGACTTCAGAAATAATAGCGAGAGGATGAAAGTGGATGAGAACTGGGACGCAGAGCTATACACGTCTGGTTTTGCTATTAGAACACTGGAGAAAAGAACTACTTTTGGACAGCGACACCAAGAGGAGGAAAAGTCAGCAGGGAGTCAAGCTTCCAGTCAAATTGAGAAGCAGAGAGTAAGAACAAGTCTTGTCCCCAAAAGGATGGGAAAAGAGGTCTGGCCAATCTGTAACAAAATGAAAACTTCAGCAGCCAAGATAGTAGGTTTAGCTGCAATGCTGCCAAGTTAGAGGCTCACGTATTTCCAGAAGATTCATGTAAAATTAAAGTTGACTGGGCAAAGTGACCCATCACATATCACTAAATTCTCCCTTTTAACTACAGAGGATCAGAAAATAGGCTGTTTCATCAGTCCAGTGGGATTGCCTACCTCTGTAGTACTGGAATAGTGACCACAGAAGACCCCAGAATATACTTATAAAATCAACGAAGATGCTGGGATGTTCTTGCTCAGCTCGAGATCTTGTTTCCTCCCCCAGTCTTCCATGTACCTCCTCCTTGTTAGGACTGGTGAGTGACATAAGAATCACAACTGGTGATATCACTATCTCTATGGCAACAGTGGTGAGGCCACCAGAAATTGTGTCATCAAAGGACAGGGGGAGAGGTGAAGATACACTCCAAAGCTCTGATGTTTAGTTTGGGTTAACTTTCTCTTGATAATTTTTTTTTAAATATATAATTTAGGAAAGAAAAACTCTTATAAATATGTAATTTAGGTAGGAAATATGGGAGGGGAAAATTTTACCAATGGATTCTACTTAAAACAACAGAGTAAGTATCATATATTAACAAATCCATATAGATGCAGACAATAAGAATTAAAAGGATTGGGGGGAGGTACTAAATTTTGTATGCAAAGCACATGGAATCACTTCATTTTGTGGGATGCAGCTTGGATTCTTTTTCATTATAAACATCTTACCTTTCACAAAAAATAAATAAATTTTGAGATATTTTTCCTAAAGTGACCATCTCTGGGTAATAATTCGTCTTTGATGGTCAGAGATACGGTAGCACTAATGCATCCTCTGCAATGCCTCCACCTCCAACTGTAGTGGGATAAGTCAGACCTTGAGGCATTTGGTTAGCAATTTCTAGGCTTTATTAGCAGTACATTCTCTTTGGAAATATAACCTTAGGTACTCTTAATTAATGATTAAATATAGGACTAGTGCATAGTTTCCATGAAGCAAAAATAATCTCTGATCAAGGCTACAAGATATGAATTAAAATCATTAATGGATTCAAAAGTGACTGACTGGTTTATTACAGGCTTCCTGTAGCAGGTTATTTATTGATGACCTTTTATATTAGGTCTCAGTTTCCTCATCTTTAAAATAAAGAAGTTGTGCAGGTTGATCTCCTACAATCCCTTCCATCTCTAACATTCTATGATTTTGATACTTCAGAGGTACTTGAATAAAACTACATGTACATGCATATAGCACTTTGCAGGTGAGCAAGCGCTTACACATCCATTGTCATCTGATCCTCACATAACCTTTTGAGGTAATAGTGTAGGTATTATTTTCCCTGTTGGACAGGTATAGAAGCTTGCTCAGGGCACAACTAAAAACTGATGGAACTAAAACTTGGATCTAATTGTTTTCATTATAATTAACTAGTTATTAATACTAATAATAGGACGAGAGCAAAAGGGAGGCCCAACATTATAAATACGGTCATCTGGGCAGCTTTGCCAAGAAGCTACAGCTTCACGCTCCCTCGGGAACCACCGGTCCATTCCCTGCAGATCACTGGGGAAGGGAATGAACAAAGGGGGAGATGGTCACATGTGTAGTGAAGTCCAGGTGACAGACATAGGGATGGTGAATTCCTGTCAGTATAACTGGGGAACTATGGATTGGCTAGGGGGTAGACCCCACTAGAAGCACATGAAATCTTGGGAAAGTAAAATCCCCAAAGAATTCTTTCTCTCTTGCTTGCTGTTGTTGGCTTGTATTCTTGTTCTCTTTTGCTCTATGACCCACACACCCCCGTGCACTCACCTGTTCTCTCTCCTGTGAGCTCACCCATTCTCTTTCCACAGCCATGTGGCCTTAAGCAGCCATGGCCCTGGGCCATGCAGACTCCACACTCAGGATGCTTGACGGGGCTGTACTGTAATATGGAACAGAAATTCTGGGCGGTGGCCTCAATTCTGGCCTTACTGAAGACAAGACTGGACTTCTTCCATGGTGAGACGGATAGAGATGGGACCTTGGAGGGAACCCCCTTAATTTTACATAATCAATAAAGCTTTCCACAAAATTCCAGCTTCTCGTGAGAGCCATAGGAAATTCCTTTCCTTGAGACACCCCAAAAACTCCACTTCCACCAATAACACAATATTCTAAATTTTAAGTCAGTGCTCTTTCAACTATATTATGACACCTTGAAACTAGTATTTAGAACATGAGACAGTCCTGGCTGGGTGGCTCAGTTGGTTGGAGTGTCGTCACAGGGGGTTCCCTCCAACAAAAGGGGGTTCCCTCCAACAAAAGGTTGCAGTTGCCTGGTCAGGACACATACCTAGGTTGCACAGGTTGGATCCTGGGGTGGGGTGTGTACGGGAGGCTGTTTCTCACATCGATGTTCCTCTTTCTCTCTCTCCCTTCCTTTCTCTCTCTAAAAATCAATGACCAAAACATATCCTCGGGAGAGGATTTAAAAAAACATGGGGCAGTGTTTGACTTGGAGGTGTAAAATAACATAACTGGCAATGCTACACAGGTGTTGATATTCATATTGACTCCAGAATCAAATATTACCAAACTTTAAGTGCTGGCTGAACATAGGATGAGGCCAAGAAATGTAAGACAGCACAGCATGAGTAAATTTCTCTGATAAAATTTCTCTAAAAGTTTCCTGTTTTATTTCAGTTTGGTAGCTGAAGCTTAACAGTGGGGGTGGGGTGGGAACAACCAATCTACTCACTACATGTCTTTTGCCCATCTCAGCATGCACACTTCTCTTCCTAAAAACAAAACAAAACAGCATGAATTACCAGGTGTAGAAAGATCCCTAAACCTTTTTTTGTTTTAGTCCCTCCCCTTGTAATAACTACCATGTTGGACAGTTTTCTATTTGCTAAGCTCTCCCTTTCTCTCTCTCTTTTTTCTGACCATAAGCTAAACTTGTTTGTTTTATGACAGATAAAATCCAAAGCAAATGTCTGAGGACAGGTTGCTGGTTGCTGTCTTCTACTGAGGGATCTTGAAAGTTGAGCAGAAGAAACTATTTAAAATTGCAAGTGTTTTGTCTAATCTTTCTGGAATCTCCTCAGGCTGTAGTACAGTGGTTCTCAACCTTCCTAATGCCGTGACCCTTTAATACAGTTCCTCATGTTGTGACCCAACCATAAAATTATTTTCGTTGCTACTTCATAACTGTAATTTTGCTACTGTATGAATCGTCATGTAAATATCTGATATGCAGGATGTATTTTCATTGTTACAAATTGAACATAATTAAAACATAGTGATTAATCACAAAAACAATATGTAATTATATATGTGTTTTCCGATGGTCTTAGGCGACCCCTGTGAAAGGGTCATTCGACCCCCAAAGGGGTCGCGACCCACAGGTTGAGAACCGCTGCTCTAAAACAATGCAGATTCTTAGGGAAGTCCACAGTTAAAAATCAATTACAAACCACTGCTCCAGAGGTTTCTTCCTAGTCCACTAAATTTTAAATAACATCTCAGGAGGTTCATAGGCGTCCTGAATGAAATGCACTCATGAATCACACTCCAGGTCAAGAATCTCTGGACTCATATGTCAGGTGGTTATAAATGCTTTGATAAATGAGAATAGAAGACAGCAGGAATGATAGCCACCTGGGATAAGATGTCAGATACGTCTTCTCTGAGGTCCCCTGCGAGCAGACTGGAGCTGGTGCAGACCGCTGAGGGAGCATGCCAGGAAAAGGGAACAGCAAGAAGCAGAGCTTCCAGCAGAGAACACAGAATGCGCTTTGGTGGATTCCACGTGCACATCCTCATTCCTCCTTCTCTCCCCCACTTCCTCTCTGCATCCCTGCCCCGCTCCGTTCTCGTACAACTTCTCGGACCTTGCTGGTCTCCTTAAGGATGAGGAGTTCGGGGACCACGCCTCCACCTTCCCCCAGTCTCACCAAGGCTTCCCTCTCTGAAACAATGAATTGAGAGTCAGAAAAGCTGAGCTCGGGTTCTGTCATGTTGTAGGTCCTTGTGCCAGTCAATTACTGGTTGACACTGAACTTCTGGTTTCTCGACCACGAGATGATTGTGACTGTTCGTTCTGTAATCTGAGACCTGAGATTCCGACCTCAGGGTTCTTCTCTGTCAACTCCGCGTTTCCGTCGCGTCCCCTCCCGGCTGTTTCGCCCTCTTCCCCGCCGCCGTCCGCCCAGTATCTGACCCGCCCCCTTTCCTGGTGTGCGCCTGCGCAGGCTGTTGGGACGATTACTTTTGACCCTGCCGAGGAGCCGTAGTCTGCGGAGCGCCGGCGGCAGGGGATTGTGGGAGAAGATGGCGGCCGCCGCTCACCCCCGGGTTGTCCGGGTCCTGCCAATGTCACGTAAGTGTCACTGGGAAAACGGGCCGGGGTTGGGATTCCGGGACAGGGTGACCATTTGGGGGGGTGGCGCCGCGCCGCAGCGGTCATGCCGACGCCCTGGACACTTGGGTTTTCTAGGCCCGTTCAGTTTCTCCTTTCCTTTCCCGTCTCCGACTCACAAATTGACAGGCGCATTTGGGAAGGGGTCTGCGCCGGGAGAACGTGAGCAACGGGAAGGGGAGAGGAGAAAGCGAGGCGCGTTTAACCGATGGAGAGAATCGGGGTTCTCATAGGGTTGCCAGGCTTGGGGGTTCTGAGAAATACTTAGGTCGGGGTGCGGGGTCGTGGAGAGGAGTCTGGAAAGGATGGGGGCGGGGAGGATAGTGGAGAGAAGGTTCCTAAATGATTGGCTTTAAGACCTTGTGCAAACCTTTAATCGGGCTCAACTTAAGCTCTTTCGTGACACAATGGAAATGATGATACCACAACGTCAGGGAGTTTCGAAAAACTAAGTGGTACTCATGAAAGCACTTTCTGAATCAAAAGCCTCTCCGTAGAGAAGAGTGTTAGACCCGTAGAGAAGAGTGTTAGACCGAGGTGCTGGGCCTGGGGGACTAGGGATGCTTGTAGGGAAGGGAAGGGAAGGGGAGAGTAAAGAATAGCTTGGGATTTTCTAAGCGTTGTTCATTCACCCCTCCGTCCTTACTAGATCGCCTATTAGCGTCTGAGACTGAAAACATGCATTTACTCTCCCACCCAGTAAGAGAGGCTAGAAAGGCAAAGAAATTTAATCCAGTTATGCTTTTCATCCTCCAGCCCTTCACCAACACGCCATCGACCTCCAGAAGTTGTATTTTTTTTTTTATGGTACCTGCTATCTGCTAATCACAGCTCTAGATTTTTTTAAAAAAATTATCTATATTGAAAGTATTACTGATGTCCCCCTTTAGATATTTTTATAATTGCTTTTTCTTCAACTTTTTTTTTTGTAACTGACATCATAGCTTGTCATGCCGCTTTATTGTCTCTGGTAAAATAACCTTTTAACTAACTCTGGAGAGGCAAGTTTAATGTGTAATATAATCAAGACACTATAGAACAATTGTGTGAAACAAAGATACATAGTGAAGTGTGGAGGGACTATTGAGTACCATAGGAAATCAGAAAAGGGAAAGATGGGTATCATTTGAAGCAGTGAGGGAAGATTGGAAGACCAGGGAAGAATGGCAGTTGTCCCACTGATTTTGTGAGGGTTGTTATGATCTAGAAAGTCAGAAAGGTTGGACATTTTCCTGTCACTGGCAAGGACTAGGGGGTGAGAATGGAACCATGAAGTACTTAGGAGGCAGTGAAATGACTACCTGTAGGTCTGATAGTAGGAAAGGAAGTTGGATACATTACATGGGATCAAATAATAGGGGCCTTTGAAAGCCAAACAGAGTTTTAAATCAGTGGTCTCCAAAGTGGGTTTTGCAAGAGGAAATGATAGAATACAAAATAAAACAAAACCCACACAACAACCAAACTAATACTTACGTTATTCAAACTATATACACTGTTATTTTTTTAAATATATTTTATTGGTTTTTTACAGAGAGAAAGGGGAAGGGATAGAGAGTTAGAAACATCGATGAGAGAGAAACATCGATCAGCTGCCTCCTGCACACTCTCTACTGGGGATGTGCCCGCAACCAAGGTACATGCCCTTGACCGGAATCGAACCTGGGACCCTTGCATCCTCAGGCCGATGTTCTATCCACTGAGCCAAACCGGTTAGGGCTACACTGTTCTTTTTTTTTTTTTTTAATTAAATTTATTGGGGTGACATTGGTTGACATATAGATTTCAGGTGTGGGTTTCTATGTTATAAGATCTGTATACTGCACTGTGTGCCCACCACCCAAAGTCAGGTCTTCTCCTGTCGCCACATATTAGGACTCCCTTCTCTCCCCACTCCATTACCTCTGGCAACTTGTTTGTGTTCACGAATTTCAGTTTTATATCCCACATATGTGTGAAATCATATGGCTATTAGCTTTTTCTAACTGACTTATTTCACTTATCATAATATTCTCAAGGTCCACCCATGTTTTTGTAATGACACTATTTCATCCTTTCTTATGGCTAAGTAGTATTCCATTGTGTGTATATACCACATCTTTATCCAATACTTTGTTGTTTCCATGTATTGTCCACTGTGAATAATGCTATAACTAACATAGGGGTGCATATATCTTTGGGAATACATGATTTCAAGTTTTTCAGATATATGCCCAGGAAAGGGATTGCTGGGTAGTGTTGTAGCTCTATTTTTAATTTTTTGAGGCATCGCCAGACTGCTTACCATAGTGGTTGTATGTACACTGATCTAAGTGATTTAATACATGTTTTATAATGTATATACTCTTGGAGTACTTAGAACATGTGTGTAATTTATAGATAAGCACTTAAAAATAAATATGTTTGGAGACTATTTAGATATTACAGTAGAAAACCAATGTAGGTTTTTGAACAGAGGAATGAAAGGAATAAATAATGTTACTCTCCTAATGGTGTCCATAATAAATGGAAGAAAATGGAGAGGCTGGAACCAAAGAGGGTAATAACATATTTATTGAGCACATACATGAGCAAGGCACTTACCAGTATATTATTAATATCCATACAACCCTCTAAAATGTTAGCTCCATGAGGGTAGGGACTTTGTCTTTTTTTTACGATGCTAGACACAGTTTTCTAGAATAGTTCTTGGCCCATAATTGTTGAAAAAACAAATAACCATGTGAGGTTAGTGTAACATTACCTTCTGAGGTATTTTGAAGTAGTAATAAATGAAAACAGCTATTATTCATGCAATGCTAAATGTGAGTTAGGTAATGTGCTGAATGCCTTATGTACATTTATTCTGATCCTCATAACAATCCTTTGTGTTATTAATTCTTTGAGTCCAGTAATTGTTCCCATCTTCTTGACTGTCCTTTATCCTATGCCCTCACTTCCTTCCTTACTCATCATTTTAATAATTCCTTTTCATACATTCTCAACTCTCCAGCCCATCTCCCTTTGTCAGCAAAAAAGTCAACACTGATTAAACCAAACTTTCCATGTATTTCCTGCCTGCCCCTGAGCAGTAGAGAATTGAGCTAGGAAAATACCAAACTAACTGACTGACGTTATTTTAAATTCATGAATACAAATCTCAAAGTAGATTTTCAATAGAATACAAAGTAGATATTCAACACTAACATTTCCATAGGAAATTTGCTTTCCCTTTCTCTATAACAATTACTTAACATGACCAATCTTTTAAAGCTTTTAACATGTGCTTCTGTCTAATTCTCTGCTTTACAGAGAAATCAAGGAATCAGATGAGAAAAATCTCTTTTTCCCACCGCAAAAATCTAATAGCTGACCTGTGATAATTCTCTGCCTTCTCTCCAAATGAGCTCCTTCAGCTCTGATCTATAGCCATCCTCTCTTATCTATTCATTCCCTCTTTTGCATCATTAATTTTTCTCATCAACTGGGTCATTTCCTTTAGCATCCATATATATAAAGAGCCAGGGGCTGTCACAACTGAAACCAACAATGGACGACCAAACAGGCTGAGTGGGGCAACAAGGCCGGCAGGAGGGTTAGTGAGAGACGACCAAAAGACTGAGCAGCAGGCTGCGTGGGGTGACCAGGCTGGCAGGGGAGGCAGTGAGGGACAACCAAACAACTGAACAGCAGGCTGTGTGGGGCAACTAGGTTGGCAGGGGGGACCGTGAGGGGCGACCAAGCTGGTGGGGGGGGCAGTTGGGGGCGACCAGGCCAGCAGGGGGGCAATTGGCAGTGACCAGGCTGGTGGGGGAGAGTGAGGGGTGACCAGGCCAGTAGAGGGGGGCAGTGAGGGGTGACCAGGTCAGCATGGGGGGCAGTTGGGGGCGACCAGGTCAGTAGGGGGGGCAGTTAGTGGTGACCAGGCCAGCAGGGGAGGCTGTGAGGGGTGACCAGGCTGGCAGGGGGGCCAGTTGGGGGCAACCAGGCCGGCAGGGGGGCAGTTGCCGGTGACTAGGCTGGCAGGGGGGCAGTTAGGGGCAACCAAGCCAGCAGGGGAGGGCAGTTAGGGGCGATCAGGTTGGCAGGCAGAGGCAGTTAGGGGTGATCAGGCTGGCAGGGGGGCCAGTTAGGGGCGACCAGTCAGGCAGGTAGGTGAGCAGTTAGGAGCCAGTTGTCCCGGATTGTAAGAGGGATGTCCGACTGCCTCGGGCCTAAACTGGCAGTTGGACATCCCCCGAGGAGTCCTGGATTGGAGAGGGTGCAGGCTGGACTGAGGGGGACCCCCCCCCCCATGTACGAATTTTATACACTGGGCCTCTAGTATGCTATAACATCTCATATTTAAAAAAAGCTACCTTCCTTGTCTTCATGTTACTCTAGTCCTATTTTTCTTTGCCCCTTTATATCAGATCTCCTCAAAAGATTATCAGTACTCCTTTTACAATTTCCTTTCTTCACATTTTCTCTTTTGCTTGCTCCATTCAGGCTTTAATTCCTACTATTCCAATAAAATTTCTCTTGTTAAGGCCATTTATAGCCAACATTTTATAGATCTCATAGTACTCTGTCTTCATGCTACTTCACTTTTCAGCATTGCTTCATAGAGCTAACACCAGTAGACACCCCCCACCCTTATCTACAGTTTTGCTTTCCACATTGTTAATTACCTACAGTCTGAAAATATTAAATGGAATATTCCAAAAATAAACAATTCATAAGTTGTAAATTGCCCATCATTTTCAGTAGCATGATGAAATCTTGTGCTGTTCTCCGTGC